ATATAATAGAAATGATATATATAATAGATATAGTAGATATAGTAGAAATGATAGATATGATAGAACTAATAGATCTGATAGAAATGATAGAAATGCTAGAAATGATAGATCTACTAGAAATGATAGAAATGATAGATTTCCAGTACAGTAATTTGAGTCAATCAGAATCAAGTTACATGTATTATAATTAGTGCTTTTTATCAAAATTGTCCTGATCTCATTATCCCGTGATCAGAATCACATGATCTTGTGCTTGTTAGAATCGTCTCAGTGAGCTGAATCCAATGGTGGTTGTTTCATCCAAATTGGTTCTGTACATCAAAAGTTATGGTCAAAAATGTGTAAAACTCTTAATGTTAACAATATATTATATTTTATACTAATCTTTAACTATAAACATTAATTTAATATTTAACTAATTGTATTTTATTTGTTTATATTATACAAAATACTGATGTTGAACATCAGTGATGTGTTTTAGTAAAACTGAAATATACAATATTATTTTTATAAGTACTAGTAAATATCTGTCACTTCACTGACAGGATATGATTTTTAAAATTGTAATTTAATTGATGATTCTATTATATAAAGTATAAAGAATAAGTATGAATAATAGTAGAGAGTAGAGTTGTCAAATTTCTAATTTTATATAAAATTTTTGTGTAAGTTTTCAGTAACATGGTTTTCATGTGATGAGTGATCAATAGAAATAAGAAAAATTGACAAATTAAAAAAAATCAATATTTTAAATTTCACATATTATACGGCAATAGATTTTGAAGTGGGAAAATTTTTTAATAAGAAATAAAACTCAAAATTATCAAGATATGAGTTGTGAAAAACTACCCCAGTGACACCGATAGATTTTACTGATCAACAATTTTTTTAAGAACATAAAACGTTACTTTAGAGTCAGGTTTATAATTATAATGATACTTGTTCTATACTAAAATTATCCAGGAATTTTTTTTACTAATGCGCAGAAGATAGTTACATAGACGAAATTTTGAGTTACGACAGTTGTTTTAAAAAATGTTAGTTTTCATTTTGATTTCAAGTTTTACCTAATCTTGTTACACGAATATGCAATGTCTGTCCACCTTGCATAACTCCAATTATTTTAATATAGTAATAGATATCAATATTAAATGTTACACAAGATCTACATGATCGTCTAGATGCCGTTGAGAAATCTTACTTTTATTACTTTTATTACTTCGAGTAGATCGACGGCATATAAAACATTGGGTTTTTCTTTATTATAATAGGGATAAGGGTCTTAATGGAGATATAGTGTGAATAGATAATGTAGAGGAAATTAACCTCGAATGTTTCCGCCCAGCGGGAGAAAAACCCCAAGTCAATACATTTGCAATACATAAAACTAAGTATTGACCCTTAATAAAAATAAAACTGTAACCCAATCCAAATCAATAAACTATCGTTAAACCCATCGTTGTCCATATCGTTCGTCCAATTGTAACCCACTAAACCGCATTTTGATCGTTCGCCGTAAGTCACGTGACCAAGCCGTTATCGCAAGAGAACTCCAACTCCGATTCAACGTATCGCAACCCCAGGTAAAGGAAGTAGAAAAAGGACAAGGGAAGACAAGGGTTAATAGAAGAATAGATTGAAGGAAAAACTTAGAAGAGAAGATTAGTACTTACCTACGGATAAACCAACCAGCCAAATCTAACACGCCTATTTCGACTTAGCCGCCGTAGGTTACACGAGAATTGGAAGGAATTAGCGACAGACTCGCCGATTTACCAAACAACACTAGTAATAAACGATTTGAATAATAATCATGTAACTATTACACAATTAGTCTTTGCCTAACTGATTTGACAAAACAATATCTATTTATATAAAGGTTATTTAAAATTTTATTTGAAATAAGTAAAACAAAATATATATTATTAAAACTGTTACATATTTTTCTAAATGTCTTCATAAAAACCAATATCTAGTTTGAATATTGTCATCCTTTTCTTCCCAAATAAGTTTACCCCTTCCAGTTGACTCATATTTATATTCACTCTTAATTTTTTGCATTTCAGAAGATGGTTTTGATCTTTGTTCTGATTTTTTTTTCCACGAACTCGTAATAGAAGGATCATCATAAAAACAAATGAATTTTGCTCTTAATATATCCTTTAGCTTGAAATCTAAGTCATTAAATTTTAATTTTCTGCTAAGAAGAGCAGAATAACTAATAAAATCAACTTGATAACTATATATACTAGTACTATCAGTGACTGCATCTGTAAAAGCATTACTTTACATAAAAGAATTGGAGATTAGTAAAATTAATAATCTGAATAAATTAAAATATTAAGAACATACCTCATGAATGAAATTATTACATTTTGTAATATAAGTATAAAAAGAAAACTACCAAGTACACTAATTATAGTGAGTGGCCAAAAATTCCATGTACTAAATGAAATTGATGACCAATCATATACTGCAAGTATAGAAGCAATAAAATTTGAGAATGGATTGTCAGCCTCCTCTCCGGTCGTTGTTGAAGATTCAGCTAGTCCATTGTAAAATGAAAAACCAAGTAGAATAAATCTAAATATACATAGTTAATATTGTATTTTAAAAATTTTATAAGTCATAAAATAATAAATGAATAAATTTAAGCCCAAAACTCACAATGCATGTCCCTGATAACGTAGGATGATAATTAAAGTATAGTGTTAATACGATAAAAATTAAAAGTATTCATTCTAAGATAATTATGTTACCATTGCAATGATAGTTAAAAGAAAAAAAAACAAGAATGACCGTATTCCAACAAGAATCTCCAAGAGAATATTAAGATACAGCGCAAATTCTAAGTTTAGATAATAGTTATACATGAATATTTAGACAATCATCTGCCAAGAATTATTAATAACAAATACTGTACCTTCGATTATACGTAAATGCAGAATCTAATTGCAGTAAATAATAGTTAAAATAAAAAATTTGTGATAATGCAATATTAAATATCACAGCTGATATTGATATTAAAAATCGGGGTTTTAATGTCATTTTAAATTTTATTTTTTTAGGGTTAATTTGGGTTTTAGTCGGATTATATTTCTTAATTTTCGGCATTAGTCATTTTCAACATCAGCTGTGGCATTGAAAAAAATAAGTATATACTTACAAACTCGTACCAAATAACTAAGATACTTAAAAAAATAACAACTGCAAAGCCTTGACTGCTTTCGACGTTTTTAAATCCGTCCTCGAATGTATAATAACGAATCCAAATATAGATGAAGATACATAACGATGTAACAAATGTTAAAAGATCTACCATATTAAAGAGATTAAAATATTTAAATTTGTCTTTATGGTGAAAGAATTGGTTAATTTCAATCACTATATGATAAAATGATAAATATAAATATAATAAACCGACTACAATCATCAGAATATGTGGAATTACACCAGTTATTTGAAGATGAGCAATACATGCCCAAGAAATAATTGAATAGGTTAAAAGGTATATGACATAAAAAATCAAGTCTTTAAACCAATAAGATCTAGAATAATACCACATCCAATTCATTACAGCACCCATGGATGGGTTTTCACATAAAATATCGAGCTTAATATCTTTTATTATTTTAATAAAAGGACTGGAATTTTCCTCGAAATCCTTGTAATCTTCACTTGTAAGCATAGGCAACATTATTAAATTTTGAAATATTGAATAATTTCTCTTTCTCTCATTCGATATATCCGATATATCCGATAGCATTTCTTTTTTAGTTGTAAAATTTGGTAAAGGTACCATTCGAATATCAACAATTTTATCAGTACTAATTTTATCAAAACTGTAGCAAATTTAAGTAAAGTGGAGTTAAATTATAGTAAAACAACAATATACTTAATGTAAATTATTATTTTCATACTCGATCTCTTGTAAATCCAATTTTGAATTTTGTGGAATCAACTGTGTAATAGGTATAAAAACCTTTAACAAACCATCTAACGCTGGTGGAATTTCAAGAAATTCAAAAGATAATAAATCCAATTGTTTGCTATCAAAGCATGGATGATTAAACAACTTTTGAACGTAAGATTCTATGTACGGAGGTTAAGGTTATAAAATATTCATATAATTACGAGTTAATATGAGAAAATCTATAGCAAACTGATTTCAACTTTACTCAATATCATCACCTTTTTCTTTTTCTTTCTTCTTTTGTTCGTTCTTAAATAATTTCAATATGAAATTGTTATCATCATCTTCCTCTTTTTCATTAATACTAAATAATTCCGGTATGATGTCTACAACTGTATTCATCCATCCAATATTATTCATTGCATTATTAGAATAATATTCTAAAAACAATGGTAACATGGCATTATCTTTGGACAAGTAAAAATGTTAATATTGAAGTGATAGTACGTTTACAAGTAGCCTGCATAATTTTAAATAGTATACGAACCTGAAAGGGCATTACGGATCGTTTTAGAATAATGAGGTATATGAATCAATTCACTAAAAGATAAAATGTCGTTTACAAGTTCATAATCTTTAGCTGCAATAAGTACACTCATTAAATCATGGTGAATATCTAACAACCGAAAAGCAGTTGGGTGCGATTTAATAAATTTCCAAATTATTTTTTTAGTTTGTTTAATCATAAAGTCAAATTCTTTTTTTTCGTCACCAGAAAGAAAAACATGTTCAAGTTCCTTGTAAACAGAAAAATACTTAAGTGTATAACAAGCGTATTTTACTACATTCATAAGATCATCATCGTCTTCCATTTTAATTATGGAAATATCATATTCGTCTTTCATTTTAGTTATGAGAAATTTAATGGTAAGTTTAAATTTTCCGATACAATATTTAATGTCTATTACTTCTAAAGCTGAATGTTTCTCAAAATCTTGTAATTCCCGAACCGTTTTCATGTCATTACGGTTAAACAAGTCAGATATAGGTGCATAAATGAATTCAAGTGATCTTTCTTTATCCTGCTCGTACCAAACTTGAATTGTATGACTTCCAATTAAAAGCAGTTGTTTTTTTTCCTCATCAAGATAAAACGAATATCTTAAATGTTTATTATCTTCAATTATTGACCATGGTTCAAGTTTTTGATATATATTTTTAAATTCTGGTTCTTTAAATTCTGATTCTTTACCATGAAGATCTCGGATTTTATTACTGAGATCTTTCCTTGAGAAATAATCGCTTGATAGTACTTTCCAACTTTGATTAGCATTTTTCTTTAAATTTTTAAAGTATTTGTGTATGATCAAGTCATCATAAATTTTGGGTTCGTCATTTTGATCAACGACTATTAAGTTATTTGACATTTTTGCTCCTTTTAACGGAACTTCATCAAATGGACCTTTTAAAAATTTAATAGAACTTCGGAATAAGCTGAATATATCCCAAACAAACCATTTCTTCGTTTCTGAATAATATACAAATAACTTCTCATCATCGTTCTCATCAGGAAAAAAATCAATGAATATATATTCTTTTCCAATCCATAATTGATTGGCAATTTCTTTGTTAAAAATATCTACAAGCTTTGCTATTTCAAGACCGCATTCAGTTAAATATATTTTGATTCCGTTAATGGCAAATGAAAAATATGCTAATAATTTGCCACTGTTCGATACTGCATAATAACTAGGTCTATCAAACTTTATAGGTCTGTTTGACACCTGTTTCTGAAAAGTATTTACTAATTGGTTTGTCTTTAAATCATAAAGTTCTGTGTATTCGAGGCCTTTTTTTTCAGTATCAACCAACAAATAGTGCTTATTTAAACACTTATAAATATATTCCAACACGAATTCATGTAATCCTTTGGGATCCGCCCAAAAAAAGAAATTCAAAATTTCATTGATAGCATAGTACATTCTTTTTGGATATTTTAGCTTTTGTTCCTTGTTAACATATTTATTCTTTATATGATATTTGTAGACCCCTGTAAGTGTTAAGATAATAAGGAAATGTTCATCAGTATTTTGTTTATTATCCTTTACAACGATTGTGTTATCATTTGTAGAAAATAATTTAACTATTCCACCATATTTAAATGATATTTCTCTATCATTAATAGGACTAATTGAATAATCTTTTTCAATCACAAAAACAAAAGTAAGTCCATTATTGAGAGTTTCTACTGATTTTTTTTCATTAAGACTTTCATGATAAGATTTCAGATCTTCAATGTTGATGCAAGATATTGCTAATAATCTAAATTCTGGTGAGCTAGTTGATTTATCTGATACGGCAACAGACCATCTTAAGATTTTTTCATTTTTACGTTCATTTTTAATCCAATCTAGTTGTTTAACAGTAAATTTAAAGTCAGCAGATTTTCTGGTAAGTTTCCTGTACGATGATCTCTCATCAGTTGGATTTAAATCATCTAATTTTGAGCCTTTTCCATCGACAGTATACATTTGTAATTCATATTCGAACGCTAAATAAAAAATGAATAAATATTAAGTTTCTTATTATTGCATTAATGAACTAAAAACGGTTTTCGGCATTTCTACCCGGTGATGACTAACAAATAAATCTATCGCTATGGCCTAATAGCCAATTAAAATACAATAAATATGTAATATGCATTTTCATTCAGCACAAAGGTAACATAAAGAACAATTTTATGGTTCAAATAATGGTTTCCCTAGTCCATTCCCAAAATGTGAAAAATCTAAAATATAGCTATCTAAACTTATATGGGGCACTAATTAAAAATGGTTGAAAGACAATTTAATAAGTAATGATTGCCCTCACCTCAACTTTATACCAGGGACGGCGAATACTTCCACTATCAAATCATAAATTTTTATTATAAGGATCAATTATCCATAACTAGATTTGATTGTCTATAATTTATACTTTTTTTCACTTATTCTTAATAGAAGTATTTACCGTCCCTGCTTTATACTAATTGAAATCATATGACCGAACATGATTTTAGGCAGAGATGTATAAGTTAGGCATCACCAGTCATAGATGCTAATAATTTCTAATGATTTAATTAAACAGTTATTTTGCAAGCACTTACTTTCTTTACCGTTTACCATTTTTTCATCGTTCACCATGAACTTAACTACAAAGTCTCCTTTTGGACTAATTGCAAAATCTTTCAAAAGATTCTTGTTTTCGATTTTAAACTCAACAACTTCGAGTTCATCAATTTCAATTATGACCTTATTTTCATCACTTCTACTAGTTGACATAATGAATGATTTATTTATTAATTTTAACGGATAATTAATGGGTTTGGATATGAACAGAGCAAATTTTTCTGTATTTAAAATATCATATATGGCTTAAAATGCTTGAAATAAATATTTATTTATTGTGGTTTACAATGCTTGAAATAAATATTTATTTATTATGGCTTAAAAAAAATCAACACTGTCATTTCATTATACTGATTGTATATTTCTTTAATCAAGTTGTTTAAATAATACCTTTTTTGAATATTACCGTTAAAGATTTGACGTATCCTTGACAGTAAATTTAAGTTGAGAGTAGGTTTGATCGATCCTGAAGAAGACCGGTCCGGACCGATGGAAATTATGAACTACAAGAATGATCCAATTATTAACGAATTGATCAACGAATGATATAAATAACATTATCACTGTGAACATTAATTTAAAAATCAGCGAATATATATATTTATTTAATAACTAGAGAATATATTTATTTAATAATTATCGAAAATAACTAGCAAAAATATTTATTTAATAACTACAGTGCAGAACACTTAAAGATGGAAATTACATAATTTTTCTATATAAAATCGACTACTCCAGGATCGCCTTCAAATTTTCACTTTCACGTGATGACCATCCAATAGTGTATTTCGTTTTAATGTAACGTTACACGATCAGGAAGATCAAAACAAAACGTTCGCTTTTCAAAAATCGCTTATTCCTCAAAAACTTGCATAAGAAACCACCTTTTGAGCTCTAACAAAAAAAATTCCTCGAGTGATTTTACTATTACTCCTCTAGAACCTAGCTCTATTATAAACGCTAACCCTAACTTAAACGAATTTAAAGGTTTTAAACGCTGTCACGTGAAAGTGAAAATTTTGACGGCGATACTGGGGAAGATCTACAAATGTGACAAGTCACATGTTTTTGTTTATTTTATTGGTTAATTTTATTTTTTTTGCCAATCAAAATGCTGGAATTTCAAAAAATATCAAATTTTAAGGGAAAATCTAAACAGTGCCCCATACACTTTGTGCACCTATAGAAAATTGAGCCACAATAAATCAGAATTAAATTACGACTAGAATTAGGGTAGAAGCAGCGAAAATAATGAAGCCACAAGAGTACTGTGAGACTATTGTCGTGCTGAGGTTTAGAAGTGTAGATTCGTCATTTTTGTTTATTTTTGCATCTATAGATTTCTTTTATTCATAAAGTACAAGTAATAGACGTAGACTAAAGCTCAAAGATGGGATAAGACGTAGGGATTAGACTATACAAGTCGTAGAAGCTATTGCGGCATTGCCGAAAGTATTTCGGCATTAATTTTTAATATAAATATCTGAGTTATTTCTGAAATAGCTCAGACATTTCATATCAAATATCAATGCCGGAATAGTTTCTACGACATGTATAGATTAGACATGAGAAAGGCTTAAACTGATTGTTGGGAAACGACCAAGTCCATGTCTAATCCAAAGATTAGACATGGTCCAAAATTGTAAAAGCATAATTTTATGTACCTTGAAAGCATAAAAGAGATGTCGTTTCGATCTCTAAATAAAGTTTTTGACATCGATGGCATTATTATACGGATTATAATAAAAATTGATTTCTCAATTGATGTATAAGATAATTGTTGTATTTGTTATCCTAACCATTAAGATTCTTAGCGATCGTATTACATACATTGTCAATATATTATTCCCACAACTACCCCCGATATTTGAATTGATTGCATTAGTTGCGTCACGATTAAATAAATAAGCACCTAAAAAATATGTACCAGGATGATCGTCTAGATAATTATTACACAAACCGAATTACCGGTGTTACTATCGGATTTCGGGAGAACGTTAGAGGAGCCGGGTTTAGGTCAGCGATAGTGAACGAAATAGGCTGTGTAGTATAAAATAGGGACAACAATAGGTGAATGTATATGCAAGATATCAATAAGGGATGTGGGATCAGGAGGGATAGTCTTAATAATTTAAGTATAGTGATATCGTTAAGGGAGATACGAATTAAGTTAGGGGTTAATTTATACGACCGTGAAGATGTCTTCACGATAATGATACTAAGGCCGTGAAGATGTATTCACGACAAAATAACAATACAATAAAGTAATTCAATGTATATGAGAGTATTTTTATAAATATTAAATGAGATTGAAATCTGTCTTTATTAAAGATCTGAAACAAGGTCTTTAAATACATGATTCATGACATATAAATTCTTTAGACTATTCTATTGACAGTGTTACTCTTTCTTCCATTTGTTGATTACATACTTTCTGTAAAACCTTTCAGGCATTAAGGCATTATCATCTTCTGTTATTGACACAATTGTCTTCATATGCAACACTGCATGTTGATAATAAGTAAATGCTTATTGTTTGCAGGAATCATTATTATTGTCAGATAATCTTTCATCTGTGGTCTTGCCTAATGAAGCTGACAATGTGATTCTTCAATAAAGCTGTTGATTTATATATAAACAATAAGAAGAATAATTTTGATTCATAACTGCAACATCAAATGATCTCACATCTATGGATAACTATATATGAGTGACAAAAAAGAAAAACCTGTAAATCATTTCACTTATTATGTGAAATGATTTACAGGTTTTCCTTTTTCATCACTTATATGACAATAATATTACATTATGTATACAAGATATAAAATAGGAAATTAACTATATAGAATATATAAAATAAGGATTTGAATATATAAAGTACATAAAATAGGAAATCAGTGATTAAATCAGTAATACAAAAAAAAAGAAATGGGTATTACACTTTTAATATATCATATGGCCAAAATTCAAGAATAAAAAGTACTATTAGAATGATGACAGTAACAATTCCCTCCTTAATAATTGAGTTTTCACAAGATAGTTAAAGATTTTACCTAAAATTGGTAAAGGTTCAATTAGTTTTTATAAGTTGTTTGTTTCAACACTTTATTATCAAGAGTTAGAAGCTTATAGATACTGTTTCTAAGAATATCATAAATATAGAAGGTGTCTTCCTATTTTTTCTTCAATTTGTCTTTATAATATCTTCCAAAAATGAACAATAGTGAAGAACCTAATTACCAATAAAGTAACTTTCAATTGAATAAAGTTGAACATGTCTATTCTTCTGTTATTTCTAAAAGGGGTTGTTCTCTCTTAAGCTTGGTTTTGAGTTTGGAAAAAGTTTTCTAACAAAGTCTCTATTCTTCTAAAATATTATCTTGCAACTCTTAATTACTGAATAGAGGTACTTAAGGTTTAATTAGCTAATTTCATTTGGCAGAGTAATATCTCTTCTGTATAAAAAGAAGAAAGGTTCATAGTAAGTAATAAAATATTTAGTAATATGATAAGCAAACAAGTTAGAAGAAATATACTAATCTCATTCTCTTGAAAACTGTATAATGCATTTTGAAAAAACTTTACATAAAGTCTGTTTAAAGTGCTTAATTAAACTATTAGTTTGCAGATGATAGCTAAAAGAAAATCTATAATTAACCTGCAATTGAATGCAAATAGAACTTATAAGCTAATTAATGAAATGTCTTTTTGGTCTGATAGAAGCTCACAGAAACTTCTATATTAACACAGAATATCCTTAATAAAGAATGAGACAACTGATATGATTGAAGCATTTAGAATAACACATGCTTCTGGCTATTTAGTAAGAAACTCTATAGTGATTACTATATAACATTTTCTAATTTTGCAGAAGTTAAAGAACCAATAATATTGATACCAACTTTGTCAAAAGTTTGATCTATCTTTATAGGGTATAATGGTTCACAAGTTCAAGGTTTTTCTTTATATTGACAAGTATCATATATTGTTTAACATTTTCATTCATCTGTAATTAGAAATATTAGACAAATGTATGCTGAAGAGTGAACTAAATATTAAAATTTCTGATAAAGAACCAGAGTGCATGCTGAAAAGAATAGGTTTGACTTCATAGGTCAACAACACTCTTAGTAATTGATAGGGTGGTTGATGATATTACTTATATAACATGTTATTAATAATAATTTTGCTGTTTTAAATAATTTTTTTGCTAGAATTGTAATTTAAGTCTTAGTTAAAGTTATTAAGAAATTTCAAGTATGCTTGGTATTAATTGGGATCCATTGTGAAATATAAGTAGATACAAATGTTTAATAAAGTTAAAAAGTTGAGATGCAAGAATATAGTTAGTTAAAATTGAATGGGTCTATTAAAGTAAAAGCAAAAGTCTTGTTTAAGATTTTGGTCATATTAAAAAGACATATATAGAAGTAATGGCCTAACTGGTAACAATTATAACAAATAAAAAGATTGAAGTTTTTGCTTTAGAAATGAAAAAATTAGTAAGTCAGAAAAGACTATCAGCATTTAAATAGTATTTTTCTAATTGATGTTTGACAATAAAATTATATTTCTGTAATCTAGAACTCATCGAGCTAAATGACCTTTAGACAATTAATGTTTTAGTAAAGATTTAAAGACTAAATAGTCTGTAATAAGGATAAATTGGAACCTATAGAGATACTGTTAAAAGTAAGCAACTAACCAAATAACAGAAAGATATTCTTGTTTAGTTACTGAATATTTTCTTTCATGTAAGGTTATCATTTTATTGGCATAACAAATGACCTGTTCCCTTTCTTAAGGATTCTTTTGTGAGAGAATGGTTTCCAGAACAATACCTGAGACATCAGTAAACAAAAAAAATTCTTTTGAGAAATTGAAATAAGTTAAAACAGGAGCTGTGATGAGTTTGTTTTTGAAAATATTAAATACAATTTTTTGTTTTCATGTCCAAATAAATCTAATATTTTTTTTAGTAGTTGGTTAAGAAAAACAGAAATTTTAGAAAAATCATAAATAAATTAATAATAATAGAAAGCAAGTTCTATGAATTTGTGTAATTGGTAGAGATTGGTAAAAAGAGAAAATTTTTAACAACATCTACTTTTTTTGGATCAGTGAAGATACTGTTTGAGTTAATCACAAAACTAAGAAACTTAAGCTTATTTTTGGTAAATTAAAGATTTAACTTGAGCTTAACATTTTAAGACTATTAAAAATTTTTAAAATATATTAAATGTGTTTGTTAAATGTAGAAGAATAGATATTGATGTTATCTAGATAAACAACTATGAATTTTTCAATAACTCCTGAAAATTCTATTCATAAGTTTTTGAAATGTAGTAAAAGCATTAGTGAGGCCAAAAAGCATTATATTAAACTCAAAAGTGCTGAATTGAAATATAAACACAGTTTTTTTTGTTAAATAAACTCATTTTAATCTGCCAATAGTCACTTATGAGGTCAGAAGATGTATACCAAAAAGAATATTAAAGAGTACCAGTAGGTATCAATTTGTAATAGTAGATGACTATTTTTTTTTTATAATAACATTAAGTTATCAATAATTAACACAAAAGCTTGTCTTTTTGTACTGTTTGACAAATACAATAGGTGAAGCTTAGAGGCTATAAGAGGGTTAAATAATATCATTCTGAGTATTTTATCAAGCTTTTCTTTTAGGAAGTCATGTTCTTTAAGAAAGATGTGATAATATCTTTGTTTAAGGAAGGGGCTTTACTAGTGTAAACAGAATAGGTAATAAGGTTAGTGTAATCTAAATTCTAAGAAGTCTATGCAAAGAGATCATCATATTCTATTAGCAACTCTTCCAATTTGTTATAATCATTATCTTACAATTCTTTTATATCTAGCTTCTAAGTAGGTTCTTTAACTTCATTAAAGAAAAATTCATGACTCAGTTTCTATTTGTTACCAGCAAAATCAAAGAGACTCTTATCTTTCTCTTATAAATACCTATTATTATTGTTTATTTTTTACCAAGCATTACCTGTACTTAGGCCTTCAGAATGAACATTATATTGAGAGGTTACAGACTTATTGTTAAAATCATAACTCTCTTTAGACTTATTACTACATATATACTAAAAAATTCTATATTCATTTTCAGAGAATCCAAAGAGCCAGTCTTCTAATTCTTCTTCTTTATAATCAGAATCAGATTCCTTCTTATTACTGTTAAAACTTTCAAAATCATTCTTAACTGTTGGTTAAGTCTTGGTAACCTTTGGCAGATGACCTTCCTGAATATAAATATGCTATAATTTTTTAAATTCAATAAGAATGTTAACTTATTGATTCTTCTATTAAAAGGTCATTTCAAAAATGTTGTAATTAATATTGGCATTAACTTTAGAAAGCTAGTTATTTCTAACAATAACTTGATATAATAGAACATCTATAGCCTCTATATTAACAGAAACCACTATGTCTTCTACTGAAAAAAAAAGTTTAAAATTTTATTAATGCATCTTTTGCTTTGATCATAAACATTTATTACATTTACTATTATGAGTCTTTTTACTTTAATACCTAATTTACTAAACAAGTAAGATGATATAACACTTTTAAACAAATCACTATTGATGATGAAAAGAATTATCTTATTACAAACTGTAGTATTACAATATAGATTAGTAGATTTAGAGGTTGACTAAATGTTAGCAAAAGTACAAGCTTACTTTTTAAAAACTTTTGTTTTTCAAAGACTCTTAATTAGGTCTGTACAGAAAGAAGTATCTAACTATAACATCTGTTCATATGTAATATTAGCAGGTTTATTATGAATATTGACAATAATGCAGTATTAGAAAATTAAAGCAGAAATTTAAGAAAACTTATCTTCAGCTTTTCTTTTTCTAATAGGAACTATTTTTGGCATTCTATATATTCTAAATCCTCTAGTAGTCTTTTTCTCAAACTCTTTTCTATTATTAGTAGGAGTTATTATTTTTTTGATAGATTTATTTGATACTTGTTCCTTAGTTTGTCATCTTTTATTATAAATAAAACCAGAGAGTCTTTCAGAGTCTTCAGCAAGAAAAAACAAAGAGTTATTTTTATTAAGATAAAAATTTAAAAAAGTTTAAGTTTCAGTTCCTTTATTTTGAGCTAAGGTGTTCTAGTTGTTAATGAATAAAAAGTTATTTCAGATGGATTAGTCTGTTTAAGAGGGATGGCATTACTTCTTGTAGCTGCTATATCAGAATTATTCTAAGGTAAAGGGTTGAAGCAATATTGAGCTAAGTGATCTACTTATCTACAATGGTTACAAGAATATCTTGAAAAATTATTTTAGTTTGATTGATTATATTTAGGTAGTTTTTTCTGTTCTTAAAGCTTTATTATTATTGTAGCTAATGTTTCAGTTATCTTGACAAGAACCTTATCAGTTTTAGAAGATGGCACTGTTGAAAGATTAATAAGACTAACTACAAAAGAATGTGACAAATCAGGTTATGGAACTGAATATTAGAAAACCTAAGAAGATGATATTAAATATGAATTACAGAAGAAAGAATTTTGTTTAAAAGAATTCTAAAGACCTTTGCATATTTATAATATTAGAGAAAAATCTAGTTTAAGTTGTTACATAATGAATACTAAAAATATGACTGAAAATATAATCAGAATTGTAATTTGCAAAATCAATAATTGTATAATCTGATTTCTTTCTATTGTATACAAGAGAAGCCCCAAGATTCAGAACAAGGCACCTATAATTATAAGCCTAGGTCCTACATATGACAATTATTGCTAATATAAAAAAGAAAGAAGAACTTAGTAGAACCACCATAATGCACAAACAAGGAAAAGATGTGATAACTTACTTTCATAGGCTTACAATAGAGTTTTCAACTCACAAAAATAATTTAAAAGATGTGATTATAGCTTTATCAGTAGAATCTATAAAGTAAAGAAGATAATTAAAAGACAGAATTATGAGTCAAAAGATAGAATTGTACAATTAACAGAAAAGAAAACATTAATGCAAAAAAAAAGAATATTTTTAAACATACTTCTCTAATAATTTGTTATAAAAGCCTTCTGTTTTTGATATTAAGTGGGATATGACCCCTTTAGCCTTTATATTCTGATAACTTAAAAGAAATTATAATAAATTAATAATAAATAAAAACAGTTATAAATTATAAAAAAAGTGTCAAGTATAAAATAGACATAAACATTTTTTTGAAAAGTCCCTATACTTACCCAGTAACTTACTTAAGAGCCACCTTAGCCATTGTCAAATTGTATTGTCTCATTTTGCTTTTAAGTAACATCATGTAACATCGACAATTTTGAAATAACAATTTGTCACAATTGCTTCATATTAGAATTTGCCCTATTCTCTTATAACAATAGGCAGCTAACAATATGTTAGGCATAAAAGAGATAATAGCAGTAGAAAACCTAGATCTAAGACTGTTAATAAACATTAGAACTTTAGTTGTTTCTAGGTAATAATGGCCTCCTGACTCAATACATTTAAGGAGTTCTTTAATAGATACATGTTAAAAGTTAATATTTTTAGTAGGTTTTTGTTTTTATTAGGTCAATTGGGTAAATCATTTATTCTCAACAGTAGAGGTTCAGAATTGGGTAATGAAATAAGAATGAAAACTTTGTCCTTCATTATGAAAATCACTTCATCAGTCAATAAAGAGTCATATTGTTTTAGCAAAAGGAATAATTATAAGAATCTTTCAGTTATCTGAGATTTAGTTGTCTTTAAACATCTTTTTGACATATTTTAGCTAAGTGATAAAGTTTTGTTTATTATCAGAAAAGCCAAAATAAGGAACCAGGTTGAGTTCTTAGTTCTGAACAGAAATATTGTCTATAGAATAAGAGTATGCTGTATTTGAAGAATAAAATTTTTAATTTGGAGAGCCAAAATCATTATGAGATCATTTTTAAGATTGGGTTGGTTATTCAGGGCCATAGGCTGTTGCTGATCATCATCATTAGGATCAATTAAAAGAGAAACCTAGGAATAATTGTTATTTTGAGCTATAATAACTTTTGCAAAAGTATTAGTATTGTTGTAGTTTAAGTTAAAAGAATCAGAGTTAAATTTATTAGTTTCTTAATAAACAATTAAAAATTCATTTATTAGTATATAAATATTATCAAGGCAATTATTATATTGAAAACTAAAGAAAAAAAAGCTTAGCAATCTTTCTGAAATGTTCTTTATATTGAATTTACTAAGCTTTTTAAATTAGTGTATCATGTATTAAAAAAAAGAAATAACTGGCTAAAAAGTGTTAAACCAAATCTAAAATCTTTGAATTTGTGAAAAAAGAATCTTTGAAAAATAACAAACTGGACAAGAATCATCTTAATAATATTATATAAGGTATTTAATTACTTGGAAAGTCTTTTCAAATAGATAATGATAATGATTGTATTATCTAGTATTTCTAAAATATTATTTAAAATTGTTTATATGTTCTAAAATCTGATAGCATGATATTTTATATAATTAGCATCAAATGTTACTATTGGATTTTTGGAAAGTGTTAATAGAGACTGGGTTTAGGTTAATAATAATGAACAAAATAGATTATATATTATAAAATAGTGACAACAATAAGTGAATATATATTCAAGATATCAATAAGAGATGTAGGATCAAAAAGGATAATCTTAATAATTTAAGTATAATAATATCATTAAGGGAGATATAAATTAAGTTAGGAGTTAATTTATATGACTGTAAAGATGTCTTTAAGATAATAATACTAAGACTATAAAGATGTATTCATACCAAAATAATAATATAATAAAGTAATTTGATATATATGAAAATATTTTTATAAATATCAAATGAGATCAAAATCTATCTTTATTAAAAATCTGAAATATAATCTTTAAATCCATGATTTATAATATATAAATTCTTTAGACTATTCTATTGACAATATCACTTTTTCTTTCATTTGTTGATTATATACTTTCTGTAAAACCTTTTAAGCATTAAGACATTATTATCTTCTGTCATTGACACAATAACCTTTATATACAACACTGCATATTGATAATAAGTAAATACTTTTTGTTTACAAGAATTGTTATTATTATTAAATAATCTTTCATCTGTGGTCTTGCCTAATAAAACTGACAACATGATTCTTCAATAAAACTGTAACAATAAGAATGATTTTGATTCATAACTGCAACATCAAATGATCTTACATCTAGGGATGTCAATGGTTTGGTTATGACCGGTCATGACTGTGACTGATACCAGTCTGGTTACAGATCCTGACTGACCAAACCGACCATTTGACTAATACTATATTATGTTATTTATTATTATAGCAATCTATAAAATAATTATTACAATATAAAAATAGGTTTTATTGTATAGATTGTGCCAAAATTATTGATATATACAAATTTAATCAAATTAGTTAAATGATATTTAATAAATAAATATATATATTTATATATTGTATATTGATTATATTTGGAAATAATGATTGAATCTATTCTAACACAATTTTAGTAATTAATAATCCATTGTTGTATTTCTTAATTAAGGAATACAATAACAGATTATTAATTACTAAATTGAGTTAATGTAGATTCATCAATCTTATGTGTGTTCATATGTATGTATGTACGTATGTATACTCATACTTAAATATTCATTAATTGATTTTAAAAAATTGTTAAATTTGTAATAATAATTAAATTTATTAAAATATCTTTATAAAGAAATCTATATAAATATATTAATAATAAATTTAAATATCTATATATAAAGAACTTTTTTAAATCTAATTTAAATAAATTTTTAAACCTTATTTTATAACATATTTTTATTATCAAATTTTAATTATGTCTAAAATAGATAGTAATTTTCTTAAATATTATAGTGATAAAGAAGATTTATACAATCAAATTGAACAAGAATTTGATGATGAAATAGAAGAAAATAGTAATATCTATAATGATAATGAAAAAAATCTAAATGAAGATGATCAAGTTAATAAATTGCCTATAGAAGATAGTATTATTTTATCAGATCAGATATCAATAGATCAATTAAGTTCTAAAAAAGAATCTATTGTATAGAAATATGTTAATAAAACTACTCATAAATGTTCTAAATATAGACAAATTTTTTTAGCAAAAACAGCAACTACTTCTATTTTTAATTATTTAAATCATCATGAATTATTGATTAATAAAGAAAAAAATTAACAATCTTTAAATTTTATTATTAAAAAACATCCACCAGAAATTCAAGCAACAAAATTAAATATAATAATTAAATAGATTATTTTAGATCTTCAACCATTTAATATTGTTAAAAAAAAATCATTTCAAGAAATGATAAAAAAATTAGATACATCTTTTCAAATTCCTAGTAGAAATACTATTCAAAATCAGATTACAATATTATATAATAAAAAATCTTTAATTATAGATTTTATTAAAAATATTTCTAGTAAAATTGTAATTACTTCAGATTTATAGATATCAATTAAAATGGAAAGTTTTATAGTTATTACAATTCATTTTATTAATAAAGATTGGATTTTACAACATTTTAGTTTAGATATATACAAATTTAAAGGTTTACATTCAGGACAAGCTATTGCTGATCATATTTATAATTTACTCTTACAATTTGGATTGGAAAATAAAGTAATTTTTTTAACAACAGATAATGCTACTAATATGATGACTTGTGGAAAATTTTTACAAAATCAACTATTTGAAAATGGATTTACTTATTATAGATGTATAGATCATATTCTTAATTTAATAGTTATGGCAGGATTGACTTGTTTAGAAAAACCAATTAAAAAATTAAGAAAATTGATAAAAGATATTTGCAAATCACCAAAGCTTATTGAAAAATTAGATAATTTTGTAATAATGGATAATGCAACTTATTTAAGACCTATTTTAGATTGTAAAACTAGATGGAATTCAACATTTTACATGATCAAAAGAGTTTGCAAACTTAAAGAATATATTGAAATGTTATTTGTTAGAAATTCTACTTTAAAATTAAATTGGTTTACTAATTTTGAATAGGAAAATTTGAAGATTTAATTCAATTACTAGAACAATTTAAAGAAGCAACTACTATACTTTCATCACAAAAATATTCTACAATTACATATGCATATATTATTTTATTAGCAATTAAAAAAGATTTGGAATCTGATAAAGGAAATAATTATATTTTGCAAGATGTTGTTAATAATATGTTTGATAAACTTATAATTTATTGGGATGAATTAGAAGAATCAATTCACATATTTGCTTTTTTGGATCCAAGATATAAAAAATATTGTTTTTTAAACAAAACTAATAAAGAAATTTTTTTACCAATTCGAGAAAAATTAACACAATATCAATCTAAAAACTTAAATTTACAATCACCTAAAAAAATTTCAAGTTTTTTTCAACATTTAAAAGAAAATACTCAAATTGATGAACAAAATGATGAGGTTTATAAATACTGGATATTATCTGAAGCAAGTGAAAATATTAATCCTTTAGATTGGTGGAAAACTCATTCAACAGAATTTCCAATACTTTCAATTCTTGCTCATGATTATTTATGTATACAATCAAGTTCTGTTCCATGTGAACAACTTTTTTCTATTACAGGACAAGTTTTATGTAAATCAAGAAATAGATTAAGTGGTGATTTAGCAAAAGCAACCTTATGTTTATGTAGTTGGTTTCTAGAAAATATTATTTAAATTTTATATTTATAATATATTTTAAAATTTTATTATATTTATATTTATA